GGAGTGGTCCATACTCTAAGACCTGCCGAGGTGAGATTTTATAGCCATTGTCCATTCCTAGTGGAGGACAAAGAATTATGCTCATCCAGCAACAGTTTGCACATGACGTGGCTAAAAGCACAAGGGGTAGCTATTGCTGATCATGAGTCATTCTCTGCTGGTCTGTCCTATCATTCCTATTATCTATCGAAGTAGGTGTGTGAAAGAAGGCTGAGAGGAGAAACTGCGACCATATCTATTCTCATAGAGAAGGCAGACGGAACAGACCTCGTAGGCAGCCTATCCATTCTTGTGCCTAATATGTTTCTTAGTATTAGGGCCTGGGTTAGCTTGAAATGTGCCTAAAGATGGAGCCCCTACTATTTCTCTAGTGTTTATCCCTCCCTCTAATACATCTTGTTGATTGGAAGTTTTGCCTGATATCCATATTCAGTTTTCTCTTAATTTCATGCCCGTATCTCTAGTCTTCACCGCCACGCTCTCATTGATCTCACTTCCTGGTGCTTACCCCTTTCCGATATTGGTAGACAGTTATGATCCCTTCTTAGTTGTTGCTTAGCCAAGCCAGAGATAATGAACTCGCCTTCCTCTCATTTGTGAGCTACGCGTCCTGTGGGTTAGCACTACCGCTTAGTGCTAGGTCTAAGATGGCATTAAATCTTTTTTGTGGGACAGCTTTGACCAGCGGTTAGGGCATTGGACCTGGATTTTATTGCCACCTCCTTGAGTGACCCATGGACACGTCACTTTATCGCAATATGCCTCAGTGTTCCCATCTTTAAAATGAGGCTTCTCGGGCCACCCCACCTTTGTGGAGAGCTTATGTCGGGCAGAACTTACGTCGCTCGTGGGAGAGGGGAGGGGATAAAACACCCTCCTGAGCAAGACAAGTGACATTGAGGTAAGTCCTGGTGTGGACAGAGGACGAAGTGCTGCTCGTGGAGGTGGTTTATTATGCCAACAGGAGAGCATCTTCACCAGATGCACTGCTGCAACACTGTAGGGCTGCATCTAGACTGGCAAGTTTTTCCGCAAAAGCAACTGCTTTTGCAGAAAATCTTGCCAGCTATCTACACTGG